ATGATTTTTATGTTGTTGATGATGGCCAAATGGCAAGCGAATAGGAAAAAAAGGTGGGGTGCAGAATGTAGGCCAGGAGCCCTGCAAACGGAATCTGTTACCGGTGGTGGAGATGATTACGCTTCACTAAGCCCACTTGCAACGACACACTCTTAGGCAACATTGGAGGAAACGAGAACACAGAATTGTGTGAATAAGGGGATGGGCCATATAAAGTGAGGTTGAGAGAAAGAGATGCGTCACGAAAGGGTAGAACAAAAAATAGCGACGAGGATTGATGCCACAAAGGTTGAACAGAAAATTGGTCAAGGGAATTGCTTTCACTTGTCACTTCGATAAGTTGTAACTCTGTACTTACGATGGAGCCTCTCAGTGACGATACCGGCGAAATGTTTGGGAATGTACCCAACCAATAGTCCAATACTGGAAATCATGAATACTATGGTAGAGGACACAGGACCAGGTACGTTTCATAAGGTCTCCCTGACGCTCCGACCAAGTTGCCTAAACAGAGTCCAACCAATAACATTATAAAACTAAAGGAGACTGCGACCAAACAGGTCACATCATCTTGGTCCTCATATCCACTAATTAACTTCATTTTGTATAATGATTCTTAAGTTTTTCTATCGAACAGTCATTATAAGACGAATTCTCCAAAAGTGTAAAATAACTTAATTATGCTATGCTAACCCTAACTTAATAGAACAGTAAATTTGCAAATGGTTATCCCACCAAATAAATGACTTCAAAACCATCAAATAAAAGATTTAATCAATCCAATAACGAGATCACATCGTTCGAAGAATTACATTGAGTACGAGTATACCTTATTACTTCTTTGCAATTCTTCGATTAGTTTCCGTAAGTTATTAAACAGTCAACTAAAGCAACACTGATTCAAGCCAATATTCTATGAAAAATTTGTTGAAGAGAAAATTATTTACAAAATTGCGCTCAGTTTGAGGTAGTAAATTTCAGCTTGGATATCAATGGCTTGCCATCTGTTAGTTTTAAGAGCCGTTGTGTATGAAGTGGTATCTTAAACACTAAAACTTACTAGTCACGGCGCTTCCATTTTCAGCAGCTGGGGACCATATAATTTCTGCTGAGGATGCTCCAAGTCGCATGAGCCCGAGCCCCGGTGGCTGTCCTGGAACAGCTGAAGGAGTGTCACAGAATCCAATCGGGCTGAATGGACTGGCTCCAGCTGCATTCACTGCGCAGACTCGGAAAAGAAGTCTGCTGGCTGGCTGCACATTGGGCAATGTAAAGTTCAGTTCAGGGCCCGAGTAGAGCTACATTCAAATATTTGGTAGAGAGCACAAAGTATTTTATTCGTTTAGAATAGGTTGCTAAACTATGACCTCTTATTCATATATATTTTAGTTTCACAGAAGTTTGTAAAAATTATTAAAGGGTGGCCTCTAAAACATCAAACAGCCAATAG